TTAGTTGGGCCTTTAGGCTTGGTACTGATTGTGTTTGGAGGGAACATTGTTCTGAGTGGTGCAGCACTTGTCTGTCAAGTTGCTGTACTGTGATTACTTGAGGTTACTGTGATACTGAAAACTTTTCCACTGGTGTGTCAAATTCCAAAAAGGTTTCCCCATCATGGACGAGTTTTGGTTGAGCTCCTTGATTAAGATAAAATAGGATACAGGAGAGCCATCTGTATCCTAAATAAAAGGCTTTTGAAAACCCTATCCACATTAAACAAAGAGGATAGTTAGTGTAGAGTCCAGATAGGAAGTCAGCTGAAATGAGGAAAATTAATAACAAACATCATTTAATAGTCTATGGAATGTTTGTGGCTTGAATGTTGGAAAACTGGAAATTGTTAAAAATGAAATGGCATACATGAATATCAACGAAATAGGCATGAGTGAGATGTGATGGACCAACTATGGTCACTTTGAATCAGATAAGCACATGATAATACTTTTCCTTGTAGAGGCCCTGTAATAGTCCGTAAACTTTAATTATGAGGCCCTTGTCTGAGATGTCATTGTCAAATGTATTTTCCCCCCCAGTCTATAGGTTTTCTTTTCATGCTATTGGAAAATGTTTTTGATTCACACAGAGTCATAATTTTTAGAAAGTCCTTATTAACAGTGTTATCCTCTCCTGATTGTGCATTGCTGGCTATATTTTCCAGTCTATTTATAAGATAGGCAGAGCTTCTAAGTTCGGTTCCATTTTGTCTCTTATGATCTTTATGGTTTTAGGCTTTAGCCCTATGTCTCTGATCCTCCTAGAGTTGATTTTTGTTTATGGTGTGAGATGTGGATACTAATAAACATGGGAGAGTCTAAAGAGCACTACACTGAGTGAACTAACTCAGTCTCATAAGGACAAATACTACATAAGAATGTTGTTGTAGAAATAGGATAATTAGTAAAATGTGTATAAAAGTCCAAAAAGGGAAGAGGAGGAGGACAAGAGAGAGTGCAGAGAGGAGAAATCAATAGGAAGAAAACGTTAGGTGGATAGAAGAGAGGTGTGAAAAAATTAGGAAATATCCAATGGGGACCTGAAAAGATGGGGAAATAGTAGGTACAGATCAATGGTAATTGATTTTATAAAACACTATATATATATATATACATATATATATATATACATATATATATAAAAAATGATTTGAAACACAATGTGAGTGAACAATGTAGGAAGCACAGTATACATGAATTAAACACAATGTATATGAGTGTTGTATGCAAACCAATATAAAATTTAAAAAAAAAGTCTGTATTTCTGAGAATATTGTATGATAACGAGTGTGGGGTGTAGACCCTTGAAAATTGGTCTTGCTAGACATTACATTAATCCCTGTTGAGATCTAGCTACCTTAACTGTACCCATATGGTTTTGCAAATCATAAACAGTTGTGGGATTGATAGAAGAATGTTTTCTATACTGTGAGAGATGGTGGGGGGGGACTGCAAAGACATTATGAGAAACAACAGTGGAGAGAGTGTGAAGGGACTGTGGCACTGCTGTGAAGAGACTATGGCAAGGTGTAATCAGAAGAACCTTGAAGATAAAGGCCACAGTTAAATTTTGGCTTGCTGGATGATTGGAGGAAAGGCTGGCTTGTAACTACTCTGAGATAGGCTGGATGTTTGAGGAATCCAGAGGCTTCTTGGATTTGTGCTGTTGATCTCACACTGGACTTTCATTAATTGAGGAATTGTGCCTTATTAATCTGGTTTGGGATTGCTGGACTAAACTTGGATTTGTATTGTAAGATATTGCATTGTGAAATAGTTGCCTCCCCCCACTCTCCAACCCATTTCCCTAATAAAGCCGACCACTTTAAGTCAAATCTATGAGTCTTGCAAGCAATACTGAACCCAATGATTGGTCAAAATAGGTACAGGAGCATGTGGGGTTGCATGTCTGATGATTTAGATGTCTCGGTATGATAAATACTACTGATGAAGAAAGTTCCACTTTATGAAACAGGTAGAGATCAGACTTGGCTTTTCCTACATTGCATCTGCTCCTTTTATAGTGTCTTCTTGCTATAGGATATATTTAGGACACAGGTAACTAATTATTTTTGCACAAGGAGAAATTGTTTCAGAAATCTTAAATGCTTTATATAAGAAAACCTTAAAAAAATAAAAAAAAATAAAACCTTAAAAGTAGAAGCAACAAGGCAGGAAATTAATATACAAGCCATTTTCACTCGTTGATTGATATTAATCAATATTTAAAGTTTAAATGAGGCACCTAAAATTGAGGGGCGATACAATCATAAATCATAGAGGTGGGATACAATTATAAATTTATATAACAAGTACTCGTATACTTAGATTTGGGAAACTGATCACTATTAACTTTATTTGAGAGAAAACATATACACAACATGGACAAAAGTGTAAAACATAATTTCTGTCTATACACCTTGCTTATGCATAGAAAAGCTGTGTAAAACAAAACTAAATTTAATAGTTACTCTTTTTATTTTACAATTTGATTAAATATTGACGTTCTTTATAGTTATTAATAAGTTAAAATACTTCATTGACTAATTTGAATAATGGAATTTAGGCCCATTTCAAATACTATTAGAAAAGTGTTGGCGTAAAACTATTTGAAGATTTAAAATAATATTTTTTGTAATAAAAAAGGATAATGGAAGCAATTATACTTCAATTATAAAAGAATAGCATTTGTTTAGAACCCTTTGCACGGGGTCTTTATATGTCAGGGTGATTACAGAATCCTGACTGCTGCACCTTAGAGAATTGAGAATGAAGGCTCCTAGGATTATAGCCGTGGCACAGCTTCTGAAGGCAACTATCAAGGACCCTACAGCCTCTATGTGTAGCTTGCTAGCTAGATTCAGCTACATAACTAAAGGGTCTCAGATGGGACCTGAGCTTGTAGTTCTTATGTTGTTTACATGTTCATTCATCCAGATACGCATTTAGATATCATGGGCCAAGAAAATGTCTAAAAGATCTAGAACCAAATACATTATGTTAAAAGTCACTCTTTTAGTTTTAAAATTTGATTCAAATGAAATTATATACATATACATATGCAATCAGAGTATCTAAGCAGATGATCTTTATGACTTTTTTAAAGAAAGGCCTCTTAAAATTCAAGTTCAGATGTCTATGGAGTAAGGAATTTTATGTGTTTAAATGAAACTGAAACTCATTGCTCTCCAGTTTGAATCCACTCATAGCTGACCCTCCAGTGGATATTCAGAGGTTGTAAATTGCACAAGAGAAGAGAAAAGAGGCAGATTTACAGATTTCACTCACAAACAAAATAATCATATGCGAAGAATATAGGCTTTAAAAATCCCTATTTTTTTCTTAGACTAAATAAAAGTGCATGTTCTATACACGCTAACTTTGAGCACATGGCCAGGAGAGATCAATTCTTGTAGAAGAACATCATGTTTGGAAGGGTGGAGGGACAGCACAGGAGAGGAAGATCCCAGATGAGAGACTGACTCAGGATAAGATAGGGTTTAGAGCTATTGTGCATGGGGTTGAGACCACTGACAAAACAACAATAAGGAGGGAGACATGGATATAATGAATATAAATCTGAAGGCTATTTACTCTTTGTTGCCATTGAAAACAAATAACATAACTTAAAAAAATGGCTCTAAGTGTACCCATAACATCTTGAAGTGAAAAACATTAGCACTGAAATGCCAGTGATGGCTTCTACGATTAGCAGGTAGGAGAGTAAAGCTGAATTCAAAAGAATATGCTTAAAGCATCAAGTCAATTGTTTCAGATTTACATTTTTGGGTTGATTCTTTTCCTCTCTCCTCTGAAGACTGCAAGAGAAAGCAAAAGAAATTCCAATTTACTGGTTCACTTCAGTGTGTTAGCTACAGATTGGCAGTATAGCGCATGGAAAAAAGACAAAACCAGGCAGATCTGGGTTCCATTGCAACCCTTCTGTAGCTGGATAGCTTTAGGTCTGTCACTTAACCTTTCTAGTAATAATGTGGTACATGTAAATTTAGAGATACAATATATGTACAAGATTAGATTGTTAGGCTAAAAGGATTGTTACTCTTGTTTGTTGAATGCATGAGATTAAATTATATGATAATGTTGCCATTTTTGTGACCCAAAAATAGCTAAATATCAGATCTCCTTTTAAGATGGCATTTGCCCTGAAACCTCAATGACACTGTTCACAGCAGGCCACAGTGTGGATGGCAAAGGCTAGTAGTTTTAGATTTCTGGACGAGTTTTTAGTAGATGATCATGGACAGGCATTTTTAATCAGCTAACAGTCTACGACAGGTTTTAATAACATTTATGACAATGGAGCTGAGATTTCTTAGAATATTCCACATCCTTTGTTATTGTTGTGGTTGGGTTTTATCAAGTCAAGTACGACCCATAGCAACCCTATGCACAGCAGATTTGAACCCTGTCCTACCCTGCGCCATCCTTATACTTCTGACACATTAGAGTCCTTTGCAGCAATCACCACATCAATTCTTCTGGTGGAGGGTCTTTCTCTCCTTCACTGACTCTCCACCTTTCTGAGCATCATGTCTCTTTCCAAGGAATAGCTCCTCTAGCAACATGCCAAAAGTATGTGAGGCAAAGTCTCATCATCTTGGACTCCAAAGAACACTCTGGCTGCATCCTCTTCAAGACATATTTGTTTGTTCTTTTGGCCAACCATGGAATGTTCAGTGCTCTTTCCAACACCATAGTTCCAAGGCATCAATTCTTCTTCTGTCATCCTTATTCATTGTCCAGCTCAGATCAATATTTTTCATTGTACTAAAATCAGCACTTTAATCTCATTGCATTTGAATGACTGGCTACAGTTCTGTTCCATTATGTTAAAAGTCACAAGAACACAAGAGTAGTGACACACACCATTTCACTTTCTTTTCCAATAACGTCAATAACAAAGGCATGCACATGTAGACTGTCAGTGATACACTTGATCTAAAAGCTTGATTTCAGGGTGTTTTCCATATTGTGGATATTCTTCTCGGTCACCTTTCTTTGAATTTGAGGTATACGTTTTCGGAAATTTCCACTCAGCAGGATGTAGAGGAAAGGGTTAATACTGCTGCTGGTATAGCTAAGACAAATGGAGAGGTAATAGCCGACATAGAAGGCCAGTGTGGGCTGCTCTATCTCCAGGTTCACCAGTTGTATCACGTGATAGGGAGCCGTACTTAGAATAAATACTGCCACCAGCACCAATACCATCTTCGTCAGCTTCACAACTCTCTGCCTTGGAATCCTGGGATTGTAACTGCAAAGAAAGCATTGGAATAGAAATGAACATAAGCAACAAAATGTTCAGGGGCGGGGGAATTAAATAATCATGGAGTTGTATAATTTGATGGGTTGGGGGGTGGTAAGGGAAATCGGAAGAATCTGTTCTCAAAAACAATGTATTTGAGTTTTGTAAAGAAACTAATAAAAAAAAAGACTGAAAAGAAAGTTTTAATACTTTAGAGCTGAGAGTTTGGCACTTTCATCAGAACATAGAAGTCTTGCATTAACCCTCTCAGACCCAGGTAAAAGCTGTAATATGCTTAGAGCTGTGGACAAGATGGTGCCCGAAGCAAAGGAGACTATGGGTGGATTCTGATCAGAGTGAAGAAAAACTGTGTTGTTTTTGTTGTTACTATGTGCTGTTAAGCTGATTATGACTTATAACTATCCTGTGTACAATAGCTCTGAACTCTGCCCTATCCTGAGTCAAAACATCCTGTCTCAAAAACACTGACCCCGTTACCCCAGTTATCGTCAATCTATCTCATCCAACATCTTCCCCTCCTGTGTTGTCCTTTCACCCTTCCAAATACGATGTCTTTCTCCAAGACTGGTTCCTCTGGGCTACATGACCAAAGTATGTGAGATGGCAGAGCCTCATAAATCCTTGTTTCCAAGGAACAATTTAGTTTCAACCTTTCTAAGACAGACCTGTTTGTTCTCTTGGCAGACCATAATACGTTCAATACTCTTCTCCAACACCACAACTCAAAAGCATCAGTTCTTCAATTGTCCTTAGTCACTGTCTAGTTCTCTGATGTATAGCAACTAATTGTAAAGACCCTGGCCTGGATCAGGTTCACCTTATAGACTGACATCCTTGCTCTTCAGTACTCTGGAGAGGTCCCAGATAGTAGCTGATGAATGCAATTAATCTTTTGAATTTTGAAATGTTCAATTTTGATTTTTTTTTTTTTTTTTACTTCTGGTACCTAGAATGTTGACTGTGGACATGAACAAGCTGAAACTGTAAACAATCTCAATCTCTTCTCCATATTCTTCGGTGCTGCCATTTTGGCCCAAGTGTGGGAATCTTTGTTTTCTCGATGTTGAACTTCAATTCTGCAGCAAATGCTTCAGGTTCCTCTCAGTTTTGGCAGTCAAGGTTATTATCTGCATAACACAGGCTGTTGATGAGTCTTCCTCCAAATCTGATGCATATTCCTCCTCATGAAGTCCATCATCCTGAATGATCTGTTCTGCATATGTATTGAAAAGGTGTGGAGACAGGACATTACTGATGCACTCCTTTCCCGATTTTGATCCATGAGGTGTATCCTTAAACTATTCTGACAACTACTTTCTGCTCCAATTATAGTTTTCACATAAGCACAATCAAGTGTTCTGGAATGCTCATTTTCTCAAGGTTAGCCACAATTTGTTGTAATTCACATAGTAAAATGCTTTTGCACAGACATTCCTCTGATACTCTACTTTCAGAAAAGATCCATCTGTCATTAGTTATGATGTCTCTAGTACCATAAACTCTTCTGAACCCAGCTTGCACTTCTAACAGTTCTCTGTCAATGCACTGTTCCAATAATTTTTAGATAATCTTCAGGAAGATTTTATGTGTGATATTAGTTTAATAATTTCCATAGTCTGTCAGATCACCTGTTTTTGGAATAGGAATAAATATGTATCTTTCCAGAAGGTTGGTCAGGTGGTTGTCCTTTAGGGATTTGTGTTTTGTTTTTTAATACTGTTGAATAGGATCCAACTGACACAGAAGATTGCTCCTCTTTCTCCAGCAGAGCATCTGGTGGATTCAAACCACGTGCCTTCAGGATTGCAGCACAGCTTCTTGCCATTAGGCCACCAGAGCTCCCTGCCTTTAGGTTTTTTTATACAGCCTGGTGAGCATGTCCAGAACTGTATCTATTTGTTGACATATGTCAATTGGTATGCTATCAATTCTTGGGTCCTTGGTTGTTGTTTTTTTTTTTTTTTTTGCCAATTCCTTGATAGCAACTTGAACTTCCTCCTTCATCACTATTGCTTCTTGGTTATATTTGTTTCATGAAATTCTTCTGTGTCAGTCAATTCTTTTTGGTCTACTAACTCTGTGTACTATCAGGGGACATAGTGGACTTCAACGTTGCACCAAAAGGAGCCATGCCTGTGGCAGACATCTGGGAACTTTTGAGAGTGAATACGTGTTCTCAAGAGGATAAGCGTGCTCCTTTGAAATGTTGATGCTCCATACTGGGACCTCCTCTTAGACCTCATTTCATGCATATATTCAATTCTCTTTATATCTTTTGTTCCTATCTTTTTCTTTTAAGTAACCATTGTAGGTAAGGCATCTATGATTTTTGTGGGTATTGCAATGTATTATCAAACTCAATAGGGAGAATACTATAGGATGAAAGTTGTCAGTAATATAGAGGAAGTTGCATAGTGGAGGCATATTTGAACCTCATAGGAACCAGCTTTTGCTAATTATTATAGTTCAAGTTATTCCTCGTGTCATTAGTTATGAAATTACCCCTGGAGCTATCACTTCAGGCAAAAGGGGAACTTTGCATATTTTCTATAATTTAAAACTTTTTTAAAAACATTTTTTAAAATTAAATTTTTTTGGGGGGGTGGTGTGTGTGTATATGTACCATCAAATCAGATCTGACTGGTACAGGAGGAAGTTGCCCCTCCTGCTCCTGCAAAGAATCTAGTGGATTCGAACTGCGCACATTTGGGATTACAGGGCAGCTTCTTGCCACTAGGCCACCAGAGCTCCCTAAAGTTCTTTGTATTTTTTAATACTTAAAATTATCCTCAAGACTTTTCTATAAATTTAATGTTATTCCAAGATAAACACATTGAAATATCCTTAATTATGTAAAATTAGACATTTAACAAAAATCTAATATTATTTAACAGAAAGTTTAGATATTTGACAAATAACTCTTAGTTATATAACCAAAATCTCCATGGAGTCATGTCTGAAGCAGGTGAACCAGTTAGGGTAGTAAGAATGAAAAGGATATGACAGGTAAAATCCACTTAAAAGCAGCAATTCCACTGCAGTTTTCATGAGTAGACTCCATTCCTCTAACTTCTTGCATTTTGAGGTATATCTATGTAAGCCTTATTTCATAAGATGCTCTTAGCATTTCTGGTGAAGAGTGTTAGAAGCTAACGATCTGATTTGGAGAACATTTTTTAAAGGGCTCAAATATCCTCTCCAACTTTTTGTGTCTTAATGTTCTGTGTGATTCAATTTCAATCTTCTCACCAATTCAGTTCCTTGGGTGTATTTAGAAGTGATTCCACCTACCCTCACCTTCCCCGCATAGCTATGGTTTCTTCCCTCTCCCAGTATAAATGGATCACTCTTTAATAATGTGAGATTATCAAAGACTTTCAAGAAGCTAAAAGGGGGAAAAATATGAGTCTACAGATCACTTATCTATTAGTATCAAGGATTTTCTGCAGATTTTGACTAATGGTGGCTATACTGATTGTTGTTGTTGTTGAAAGTGTTGTGCAGATAAAACTCAGAATTATGCTTTTTCAAAAGAAATACAAAAATATATTCAAATTTTAGTAGTAACATTGACCCAATATGTTAGATAATTACGGATTTAAACAACTTGGCATATTAATTTCAAAGGGAAACAATTTCAATTTATTAATTTAGTTTTAGATCTTTAAATGATCTTTCTTTATCTCTAGATAAACCTTTAATTTCATTAACCTGTGAATACTTTTTTACTAAGTATGCAAAACTAATCAGCTCCTTCTCTACATTAAAAAACCCCCAGCAAAATGAAAGGTTACACATAATTTATAGGGTATTTATTTATGTACACAATTCTGTAAAATGCACAGCTAAAACATTCAAATGACAGTTGCTGATGACAAATGTAGAATTGTTTAAATAGAAATTTGAGTTCAGTTCACATTTCAGTGAAACTGTTTTGCTAGTGATTTCAGCCTTTGTCACTGAGAAATCTTTATAGATAACTCCTTCAAAAAATGTCTTATTTCCTGAAAGCGCTTTATATAGATATATATTCATGACTTATGCTCAAATATGCTCAATATGGAAGATAAAGGAACTCTAATAGCTTAGTGGTAATAATAGTGTTCCCAATGCAAAGGCAAGAAGTTAGAATCCATTAGCTTCTCCACAGGAGAAAGTTTGGCAAACTCCAGTCTCTTCTTATGTGATTTACTGCTTCTGAAAACCCACTGGCTGGGTCAGCTAGGGGTTAGTTCCCACTCAGTGGTACACAACAACAACAACAACAGCTCAATTGTAGTATGTTTAAGTGATTGTCACCTTGAGTTTCCATTATAGATGTCTTGTGGTGGTTGTTAGGTGTTGTTGATTATGACTCATAGTGATCCTGTGACCAACATATCTGAACCCTGTCCTGTCCTGTGTCATCCTCAACATCTCTGGCACACTTGAATCCATTTCTGTAGTCATTTTGTCAGTCCATCTCATTGAGAGTCTTTATCTCTTTTGCCGACCCTATGCCTTTCCGAGCATGATGTTCCATTCCAAGTAATAGCCTCTCCTAGCAACATGTCCAAAGTATGAGATACAAAACTTTACCTTCCTTGTCTTTAAACAGCATTTTAGATGCACTTTCTTCAAGACTTATCTGCTTGTTCTTTTAGCAGTCCATGAGATACTTAGAACTATTCTTCATCACTACAACTCAAAGGTGTCATCTTGTATTTTGTTATCCTTATTAATTGTTCAGCTCCCAAAGGCAACGCAAGTGATGGAAAAAAATAGGGCTTGAATCTGACACTTCAAACTACCACCATTGCTCCTCGGTATTTTGGAGAAATCCCTGACAGCAGACTTGGCCAATGCAATACATTTCCTGATCAACTGATTGCTGGTACCATATATATTGATTGTTAATCTAAGTAAGATGAAATTATTGTCAATTTTTATCTTTTCATGATGTTTCTTATCAGTCCAGTGGTGAAGATTTTTGTCTTCTTGAGAAAGGCTGTAGTATTTGGTCTTTTGCAGCAAGTATTTCAAGTTCTTACTTTAAGCAAGCAAAGTTATGTCATCATCACAATGCTGATTCATGAGGTCTTCCTCTTATCCTGATGCCACATTCTACTTCACGGAGTCCAGCTTCTTAAAGGATTTGCTCAGCTTACAGACTGAATACATATGGAGAAAGGATACCACCCTGACATACACCTTTCCTGATTTTAAACCATGCAGTGTTCCCTTGCTCTGGACAACATTTATTTTTGGTCTAGATACATGTTTTACATGAGCACAATTAAGTTTTCTGATATCCCTGTTATTCTTAATTTTAGTCATAGTTATGGTCCACACAGTCAAATGCCTTTGCATAGTCAATAAAAGACAAATAGATATTCTTCTGGTATTTTTTGCCTTCAGCCAGGATCTTTCTGACATCAGCAATGATATATCTTCTTTGTTAATGTAGATTTCTTAGGTTATCAGAATTTTTCTTTTACTAACTAAAGTAAAATAGGAGCTCTGGTGGCTTAGTGGTAAAGAATTGTAGTGCCAACTCAAAGGAATGCAGTTCAAATCTACCAGATGCTCTGCAGGAAAAAGATGGGCAATCTCCTCCTTTGTGATTTACTTTTTCTGAAAGGGTATCTCTGAGGGTCTGCTATAAGTTGGTTCCAACCTGACAGTACACAACAACAAACAATAACAACAACTTTCATTGTCGTTGTTACGTACAATTGAGTTGAGTATGAAGAGTATTGAAAATACCATGGACTACCAAGAGAACAAACAGGTCTGTCCTGGAAAGGGTGAAACCAACTTGCTCCTTGGAGGCAAGGATTTTGAAGCTCCATCTCACATACTTTGGGCATTTGCCAAAAGGAACCAGTCCTTGGAGAAGGACATCATGCTTGAAAAGATGAAGGGATAGTGCAGGGGAGGAAGACTCTGTATGAGATGGATTGACGTAGTAACTGGAGCAATGGGGGTAGGTGTGTCAGATATAGTGAGGCTGGTTCATAGTAGGGCAGGGTTCATAGCTGTTTTACCTAAGGTTGCTATGAGTCACAGGCAAATCAACTGGACATAACAAGAACAACATGTTGACCCTATGAACGACATACCAGAACCTTGTCTTGTCCTGGGCAATCTTCATCATATATGACACACTTGAGCCGACTACTGAAGTCACTTTTTCAATCCATCTCATTGAGGGTCTTCTACTCTTTTACTTATTCTTTCCCTATTCAAGCAAGATGTAGCCTCTCCTAGCAACATGCCCAAAATGTGTGAGACAAAACCATCCTTGCTAATAAGGAGTATTCTAGCTGTACCTTCTCTATGACTGTTCTCTTGGTAGTCCACGGGATATTACATACTCTTCTCTAATACTACAATTCGATGTCATCCTTATTCATTGTCCAGATCTCTGAGGCATAGCAAGTGATGGAAAAGACCATAGCTTCAAACAAGTGCACCTTAGTCTTCAAATTAACACAATTGTTCCTCAGTATTATGGATAGGTCCCTGACAATGGACTAGCCAAATGCACTACATCTTCTAATGTCCTGACTGCTGGTATTAAGTTTGTTAATTGTGCATCCGAGGAAGATTAAATCGTTGGCAATTTCTTCAATCTTTTCTCCATCTATCATGATGTTGCTTCTCAGAGCAGTAGTGAGGAATTTTGTCTTCTTGATCTTGAGATGCAATCCATATTGAAGGCTGTAATCCTTGATCTTCTGCTACAAGTATTCTAATTCCTCTTCACTTTCAGCAAGCAGGTTGTGTCATTTGTGTAATACAAGCTGTTGGTGGGTCTTCCTCCTAACTTGATACCACATTCTTCTTCATAGTTAAGTTTCTTGAATGATTTGCTCAGCATTCAGATTGAGTAGATATGGAAAAAGGATGCAACCCTGACACACACCTTTCCTGATTTTAAATTATGAAGTGTTCCCTTGCTCTGTTTGGACAACAGCTGCTTGGTGTAGGTATAGGTTTATGAACATAATTAAGTGTTCTAGATTCCCATTTTTTCAATGTTAGTTATAGTTTGTTGTGGTCCACACAGTCAAATGCCCTTGTTTAGTCAATAAAACACAAATAGACATTCTAAAACAATAGTAGGTAGGGCTGTGAAAGGAGCAGTGGTAACATTGGGAAGACTACCCTTTTCATAAAGGGGAACTGTCTCCATCAATAATATCCACAGCACCATATAAGTAGCTACATGATCAGGCATGCCATCTCACATGCTCTTGCACCTATTTCTATGAATCATTGTGTCCAGTGTTCATTGCAACTTGATTCACAGACTTTATTCACAGTTGTGGGTTTTATTAGGAAAATAATTTGGGGAGTGGGGGAAAGACAAAGAATATCATACAATTTATGTCCAGTTTTGGTTCAACAGTCCCAAGCAGGATTAACAAGTCACATTTCCTTGGTTATTTAAAGTCCAGGTTCAGTTCGGTTGCACAAGTGCAAGAAGCCTCTACTTTCCTCAATCATCCAGCAAAATTAATCTTAGAGCAGTTACAAATCAGCTTTTCCTTCAATCTCCAGCAAGCAAAATCTTTAATTATGGCTCTATCTCCAGAGTTCCTCTGGTAACACTTTGCCACAGTCTCTTCATAGCAGTGTCACAATATTTTCATCTTTTCTCCACTATAATTTTTCATAGTGTGGAAAGCACCTCCTTATATTGGTCCCACAGCTGTTGATGATTTTCAAGACCATTTGTTTGTAAGTAAGGTAGTTAGAATCTATATCCCCAATAGGGGCTAACATAATTAATAGAAAAGCCAATTTTCAAGGTTTCTGACACCACCAGGACCATTAGTGAAGAAGGTGGAACAGAAACATCTGAGGTAGAATAGAAACATCTATGCCTCCTCAGAAACAGAAAAAAAACTTGCAGAATTTGTCTGATCAGAATTCTGAAAGACAGTCAAAAGTTTAAAGCAACCAAGCAAACATGCTATAAGGAAGATCACTAAAACAAGGAAGAAGACATGCATGGTATTTTAATTTACCTAAGCCTCACTCTCTTCCCTGGAATAGTAGTAGTTGTTGTTGTTATGTGTTGTCAAGGTGACTATGACTCATAGCTACCCTATGCACAATAGCTCTGAATCTTGCTCTATTATGAACCAATCTCACTGTCTCTGACAGATGTGCCCTCCCTCCCTGTTACTGTGTCTGTCTATCTCATTCAGGGTCTTTCCCTCTTTTGCTGTACCCCCACCCTTCCAAGTATAATGTCCTTTTCCAAGACTAGTCTCTCTTGGCAATTTGTCCAAGGCATGTGAGATCAAGCTTCAAAATCCTTGCCTCCAAGGAGGAGCTTGTTTCACTCTCTCCAGGACAGAACTGTTAGTTCTCTTGGCACTCTATGATATGTTTAATACTCATCTTTAGCACCACAATTCAAAGGGATCCATTCTTATTCTATCATCTTTGATCACTGTCTAGCTCTCTGTTCCATAACAAGTAATGTCTGGATCAGGTGCACCTTCATTTTTAGACTTAAGCCTGTGTTCCTGGTTCTGGAAGGAGCAAAGTTCGTCTTCTCCCCAAAAATTGTTTTTGTCTATTTTAACTTCACTGAGTTTTCCTCAGATAACTGTCATAAGGATATTCTCTTTGTTTCATCCACTCAGAACTCTATCAGAGTGGAAAGCCTGGGTTATGTTGTCCTTGAAAGTAAATGAAAGTAAAATGAAGAAACTATTGCCACTTGAGGCAAGATAAAAAATAAATAATAGCTTCAGTCAAAATTTACCAGAGGCTAAAAGGAACAGAGAAAAATTGATATACTGAAATCTGAGGGTGGATTTTTTTTTTTTAAGAGGAATGCAGGTTCTGAAAAGTTGCTTCAAATATGGGAGTTAAGAAAGTCACACACATGCTCAGGGCAGGATGCATGCCCAGAAAAGTACTTAGTGGACCCTAGGTTAGTACTTCTGGCTGGTCTTCCGGCTCAAGTAGTAAGTGAACAGCAAATCTAAGTTTTAGTGGCCTAGCTGAATGTTGAAGCAGTCCCTTCAACTCAGAGCCTACAGATATCTTTTCTTTGTTTATTGCTTTAATATTGAAAACATTTTAAAGAGATTATGGTGCATGGAAAAACAATACAATTGAAAACATGAATTAAAAAAAGAAAATAAATGAAAACTGTCCCTAAGGAAGGACAGACTTTGGAATGACTTTACATAAAAAACATTAATAGAACTATGGACTAAAATAAAGGAAACTATGACAATAATTTCTCAATAAGTAAAGAATATAACAGAGAGGAATTTTAGAAAGGGACCAAGTAAGATTTTGTGTGTGTGTGTGTGTGTGTGTGTGTGTGTGTGTGTGTGTGAGTGTACCGTCAAATCAGATCTGACTGGTACAGGAGGAGATTGTCCCTCCTTTTCCTGGCAGAGCATCTGGTGAATTCGAACCGTGTGCCTCTGGGATTGTAGTTGCAGCTCCTTGCCACTAGGCCACCAGAGCTCCCCTGACCAAGTAAGATTTTATAGCTGAAAATTATAGTAATTAAAATGAAGAAATGCTCTAAAGGTATTAAAAAGAAGTTAATTAAATTTAATTAATTAAAAAGAGTTAAAATACAGCAACTATGAAGATAGATGAAATGAAATTATTCAATTTGAATAACAGGAAGCAAAAAGAACTAAGAAAAATAAACATAGCCTAAGAAACTTGAGAAAGACCAATATGCAAGCCAATTATGTGCATAATGGAAGTAACAGAAGTAGAAGAGAGAAAGAAAGGAGCAGAGAGAATGAGAGCAAACCTGGCATTTAACATAAAACTCACATTTTATAAAATACATGGTAAATAAATCCTAGAAACTAGAAAACTTCACTGAGAGTAAACTCAAAGACATCTACACAGAAACACATTATAATCAAATTAAAAAATTAGGATAAACTCTTACCATCCAGCATCCTTGTTTTGCTGATACATCTCCCAAGTATAGCATAAAATTAATATATAGCACACCAAAATCAAAGGTAAAGGGAAAAAGAAAGTTGATATTGTCAAATACAGTGTATACCTGTGAAATTAAAGAGAAAAAAGACATTGCTGTCATGTTCATTATGCTAGGACTTAGCTTTTGTAATTTAGGAGTTCTAATTTTCTGATTCCCCCCCCACCCAGGGCCTAGGATAAAATCCTTGGGGCGGGGGTGGGGGTAGGGGGGAGTGGAAGGAAAGCTCTTTGAATAGTTTAATTTAGGGGGAAAGTTAAGTAGTTCTTTATTGTTCATGGAAAATGATGATTGCTTCTTCTTTTTTTTTTTTTTTAGGCAAAATCAACTCTACTGTGTGCAGACAAGGTAAGACGACTGATTAGTGTTGATCTTTATTATAACAATTGTTGTTGTTGTTGTTGTTGTTAGGTGCTGTCGAGTCATAGACGACTCATAGGGACTCTATGAACAAAAGGCCTGAGAACTGTTCGTACATAGAGTTTGCGGAGGCAAGCCATTTCGGAAGTAGATGCCGCTCCTGCTTCCAGGTTTGTTTTAAACGGGAAGCTCCAGCCAACACTGTCCACCATGGGTAACCATTACCACGTTTGGCACATCAGTGTCCCAGTGTTCAGTATCACAGCAACCGCTAGGTACCTCTGTACAACAATGCACAGACCAATGCTATACCACCTAGAAGGACGTTTGACAGGAAAACAATTTGAACCTGGCCTGAGGGCCGCAGATGAAAATCACCCACCTTTGGCTTGGTAGCATAACTTTCTGTCCACTAGGCCAGTGTAGCTCTCTCTATGTAATCGTATTATAACAATACATTACATAAATCAACAAGAACAATAAGCAACAGAATAACAGTTACTATGTAGTAGGTACTATTTGTACTACCTGTCTGGTGTGTTGTCTAAACAGTAGTGATGTACATGTTGCTGTGATGCAAAAAGCTATGCTATCAATATTTCAACTATCAGAAGGGTCACTCCTCATTGACAGATTTCAGTGAAGCTTTCAGACCAAATCCTGATAAGTTATTACATCTATTAAATTAGTCAGTTAAAACCTTAAGGATCACAGCAAGAATACTCTCTATCTTGCTTGTTTTTGACATGTCATTCAGTGAGATTGATTGCTAAAGGAGGATATCATGTTTGGTGGAGTAAAGACATAGAATATTTCCCCCTTTGCATTTACCTCAGGGTATGAATTGGTGTAATATTGCAACATGTTGATAATTGTGAGGGTAATATAGAATCAAGCAATATTTTGTTCTGTTGCAAGTACATAAGGTTGGCGTCCATAGAGCACATATAAATTAGATGAACTCGACTTGATGGTAGCTGACAAGAAATATTAACACTGTATTAAGTGCTTTATGTTCCTGAAATTATAGAATTTATATGACTCTATGAGTTCTGGTGGCCTAGTGGTAAGAAACTGCACTGCAAGCCCGAAAGGCACATTGGGTGGAATCTACCAGCTGTTCCACAGGAGAAGGATGGAAGCTGTGTTTAACTGCCTCTGAAAACCCTCTGGAGGGTCAGCTGTTGGTCGGTTCTGACTTGACGGTGCATAACAACCACTATAATATGAATATGATGCCACTGATATCCTCATGCTACAGAAGAAGAAACCTAGGCATGAACTGGTTTCATGACTTTCTTTAAGTTACCCGGCTAATAAATGGGAGAAGTGGGATTTGAATACAAGAAGTTCGGTTCCAGAGCCTATTTCGTACCATGGTACCAGGTGATATCTCATTGTGCTGAAATGAGGGTTTCTGCAAAAATCTGATTTTGGTGCAATTCCAGAACAATTTCTCAGGTGAGTAAACTCCTTTCCTGCACAGATAAAATATTCTTTTCTTGCTGGAAAACCCCTGACCTCTGGAAAAGAAGGCTGGCAAAGACACAGTGGATATGGATAAGGGACCAAGTGCAGTATGGTAGTTCCCAAGTCAGGTTGTTTTAAGGGCTTAATTCTAGGAGGTCTAAGAGAGGCTGCCATGTGAGAAAGAATGATAAACAAAAATAGTAGCAATATCTGTAAATCCAGAATCGTTAATTTTTTTTAAGATCATACAGTGGGCATCAGGTGGCCTTTTTAGGTAGAAGGAAGAGTCTAGATTAACATATCAACCAGGAGTGATTAAATATCATTTTCTCATTTGAGTTGGTCTGTGAGTACAGCCAGTGCTGATGAGAGAAATAATGTATGAACAAGCATGTCATTTACAGTCATGCGAAGATTTCTTTCTTGAATATGTGTCCTCACAGGGCTTGTACTCTATATCATGAATAAATAATTCATTCATTTGATAAGTGATGGGGGGGTATTCCATCATGCTGACTTGAGATAGTGTGTGTATAAAACACCTTACACATTACTTGTGAACCCCTCTGAACTCCTTGCCATTGAGTCAATTCCCAACTCATAGTGACTATTATGTGATGTTGAGTTGATTATGACCCATAGCAACCCTATGAATGATGGCTCTGAACCTTGCCCTATACTGTGCCTCCTCACCATCTCTAACCCTCTTAAATTGCTTGTTATAGTCACTGTGTCAATCCATCTTGTAGATCTTCCTCCTGTTTGTTGACCCTCTACCTTTCAAAGCATGATGTCCTTCTCTAAGGAATGGCCCCTCCGTACAACATGCCCAAAGTATGTGAGACAAAGTTTCACCATCCTTACCTAACTCTTTAAGAGAGTAGAACTGCCACATTGGGTTCTGCTTTATCAAAGCAGACTGCCACATCTTCCTTAGTAAACAGAAAATCGAAACCCATTGCTATCAAGTTAGGTCTGATTCATGGTAACTCTATGTGTTACAGAGTAGTAGTGCTCCATACGATTTGTTGGCAAGTAATCTCTGCAGAAGCAGATAGTCAGGCCTTTCTCACATGATACTGCTGGGTGGGTTTGAACCTTTTTATGTTACTAGTTGAGCATGAATTGTTGAGGCCTTTTAGCACCATGCATAGACCTAACCCTTAGTAGGTGTTCAAAAATCTTAGAAGGTATTCAATGGACTTCCAGTGGTATAGTAAAAAATTTCAAGTAGGAAACTTTTTATTTAATTTTACTTTTAAAATCTAAGAATAGTAATGGCTTTATGATACAGCTATTGATAAGATTTCAATATATGCAACTCTTAAACCCTCTGTGAATACTCTGATTTTGATTGATTGTTGAATTCTTGGCTTGTCTGACTTCTGTATATCTTTCAGATTTATGTTTGAAATACATTTTCAGCCAATGAAGTTGCATAATGAAATGAAAATAGTTTTATAAAGGCTAGCAGAAGAATTAGCACACCTCTCCTTAAAATCTAAGTATCCCTTAAAATCTAAGTATCAACTTAGTTATGGAAAGGAGAAATATAAGTGGGGAGATTGACACAAAGACCCTTTTTGGGCCTGCTCATGTGTTGGCAAAAGAGATGAACAGAATCACAGATGTGGTGAAATCCATGGGAAATCGTTCACTATCAACTAGTCAATAAGCACAATAAGCCCATGTTTACTTTGCTTATTGAATAATCTGACATTGAAATTGAAGTACGTACCAATTTAATTCAACTCTATTTTTCTTAAGACTTAACAACTTACCAGAGTACATCTTCAGGGGATGTTAAATCAAAAGCACAGCTCTCGATGCCGTCTTTAAATGTGATGACCTTTGAGTAGACCCAGACAGGCCATGCCAGGATAAAAGAAGCTGCCCAGAGCCCCAAATTGATGCAGATGGTCCTGTACCTAGTTCTCCAACTCCTTAGTCGAAATGGCTGGACGAGAGCCAAGTACCTGCAAAACCAGTTAAGCAGGGTTTGGGAACAATCGATAAAAACACTGAACTCCAAAGATGAACGATTCATGATAAGAGTAAATTATTAGTATTATTATCCTTCCTGAAGTACACCTCTATTAGAGGAAAAGAAAGTTACATTTTTCCAAGAGCTGGCTGATACCTGCAGAGAAAACAACTCTTTACCCTGAAAGCTTGAATAAACCACTCATCCAAATAACTGTCACTTCCATGAATACACTGATAATTCTGGTAAAATTTTGCAGTGCAAACTCTTTATCTTCAAAGATTCTTCCCTTGTAAGAGAAACTGAAGACTTTTTTTTCTGAATAAGTATTTCCTCCATAAGGAAATGACTCTCTTCCCAGTAGGATTTACTAACATTTATGCAAGAAAAAGAAAAGGATGGGCCAATAGAAGAATTTGTAGTTAGCTGAGATTAGGCACATCTGATAGACATATTGCACATATGACTGTACTATAGAGTCCTCTGGCAGGGAAAGCACAGTGAAAAAACTAACATAATTAGTTTAAACAGCACAAATGCTCCCTAGGGAAATTAAACCAGGAAAAGGATATGGCTTAAGATTATGGGGAATGATAAATTGCACAGGAACGATATAGGGCACCATCAAAAAGAGCAACTCAAGAGCTATCCTGAAGTACAATACTGTGAGGGATAGGACACTATTTGTACATAAAAAAAATAGTGAATGCACTATTAATAAAGTGTATGTACCAACCACTAAAGCCAAAATGAAGAAATTGAGGATTTGTATCAACTTTTGCAGTCTGAAATTAACAGAACATACAATAAAGATGCATTGATAATAATTGTCAGTTGGGATGCAAAAGTTGGAAACCAAGTCTATGTGGTCATGATCCAGGTTCTGAGGGAGAGATATTTGAGACAGTATTTTGATATATGGTATGAGTAGGAGTGGTAGTAGGAGAAATTAAATAGATGTAAAACACGACTTTGTTTTTGTTGGCTGCTTTCAGTTTGGTTCCTACTCATGCTAATATGTATTCAACAAGAACTGCCTGATGTTAAGGCTGGGTTTAGACAAGCTGTGGTACTAGGGATATTACAGATAATGCTAGATGGATTTTGGCTGAAAGCAGAGGGCACCAGAGGAATGTCTATCTGTGTTTCATTACTATGCAAAGACATTTGACTGTGTGGGTTACAACAAACTGTGGCTGACCCTGAAGAAGAATAGGAATCACAGAATATTTGATTGTGCTTATGTGAAACCTATACTTGGACCAAGAGGCAGTCATCAGAACAGAGAATGGAGACACTACATGGTTCAAAATTGAGAAAGGTATATGCAAGTGATAAATTCTGTCTCCATACCTTTTCAATCTATATGCTGAACAGATTATCCAGGAGGCTGGGCTCTATGAGAAGGAATATGACATCAGGATTTGAGGAAGAATCATCAACAACCTGCGTTGTGCAGATGATACAAGTCTGCTTGCTGAAAAGTGAGGAGGACCTGAATTGCTTGCTGCTGAAGGTCAAGGATTGCAGCCTTCAATAGGAATTGAACCTTAACATCAAGAAAACAAAGATTCTCACCTTGGGCTGTTTGGCAACATTATGATAGATGATGAAGAGATTGAGATTGTTAACAGTGTCAGTTTGCTTGGCTCCACAATCAACTCTTTGTAACAGCAACCAGGAAATAAAAAGACAAATTGTATTGGTAAAGTTGGCTGTCGGGAACCTCTCTAGATTACTGAAGAGCAACATCAATCTGGAAACTAAGCTGTACCTGATCCAGGCCATAGTCTTTGCAATTCCTTGCTATGCATCAGAGAGCTTGACAATGTCTAAGGATGATAGAAAGAGAATTGATGTCTCTGAGCTGTGGTGCTAGAGAATTGATGTCTCAGAGCTGTGGAGCTGGAGAAGAGTGTTGAATATATGATGGACTGCTAGGAGAACAAACAGGTTCATCCTAGAGAGGGTGAAACCAGGCTGCTGCTTGGAGGCAAGGATTCTGAGGGTTTGTCTGACATACTTTGGGCATGTTGTGAGTATAGACCAGTCCTTGGAGAGGGACATCATCCTTGAAAGAGTGGAGGGATGGAGAAAGAAAGGGAGACCATTGATGAGATGGATTGATACAGTGACTGGGGTAATGAGAGTAGGTGTATAAGAGACAGTAAAGTTGGCACAGGACAGAGCAGGTTTCAGAGCTGTTGTACATACAGTCACTATGAGTTGCAAGCAACTCAAGGACACAAAACAATATATATTATATATAATTATATATAATTATATATATACATATACATAGAATGTTTTCGTTGTGTGTCAGAACTGACTTATAACTGACCCTTCTACAAGTTTTTAGAGGCTGCAAATTGCATGAGAGGAGATTGGTTATCTTTTTCAGACAGAGCTACCTTTGGGTTGACAGTACAACTCCTTACCCATTAAGCCACCAGAGCCCCATAGACAATGCTTAAGGTAGCTCTGATTATCCAGTAGTAAGGAGTTGTGCTGTCAACCAAAAGACAGGTGGTTCAAATTCACCCTCTGCTCAACAAGAAAAAGAGGGGGAATGTCTTCCTGTGCAATTTACAGCCTCTGAAAACCTGCTAATGTGTCAGCTATAAGTCAATTCTATAATAATAATAGCAAACAATGCCTGGTTTTGCACCATCCCAATGATCTGTTGCACATTAGACTGTTGTGATTCATACTTTTCGTTGCCTGAGTTTTGGAAGGTCTTTGTCAAACCTTTCTTTCTAGACCATCTTAGATTGGAAACTGCTGACATCTGCTAATATCATGACAACACTCAAACTTTCGTAAACAAATAGTGTTGGCTTTACACGTGTGCTGTATGGGACTTGAACCTGGGTCTCTCATGTGGAGACTGAGAATTTCTACCACTGACCCACCAAATAAAATCAAACCAAAGCAAATAAATTAGTGCCATTGAACTGATTCTGACTCATAGCAACTCTGTATTAGGTATCAGTGGCAGTGAATCTTAGCTTTTCTTTCTCTTGTGGAACTATTCTTGCATTTGAACTTCTGGAGATACTCAGCTTTTTTTATTAGCAGCATAACCCATAATAGACTATACCATCAGAGCTATTTACTGAATCACCACTGCCCTCAGAAGTTGCTTTCATTTCTAACTTTATTTTCTCCAAGATTTTGTAGAGCTGCTTCATGAAGACTCAATAAATAAAAGAATCCCTGTTCTCTTGCTAAACTGATTTTATCAACAGCTTCTGTTTCATAGACAAAGAAAATAATCCAGTTAACATTAGGAATTATGTGCAATGGATTTGTTCCAAGTTAAAAAAATGTACCTTCACTGTATTGGCCTTAAGAAGTTCTCAGCAGGAGGTTAAATATCTATATGTAGACTATATCCAGACACTCCTATCTCTGAGGTATGGAGAAACTTTTATTAACTAGAATGAATGATGCTGACAACAGTGAGACTGTTCTTTAAGTCGTTTATCTACAGTGGGCCTAGTCAATGTGGGATCCTCACCCAGTGTTCAAACACAATCATGTTACCTGGCTCTCCTTAAGGCATTGGCAGCATTGGCTGGTATCAGCCGTGTTATCCAATCCAACACAGTACATTATTTTAAATATTTTTAAAATATCATATGAATTACAAATTAAGAAGCATACTTAATGCCTTGAGAGCTTTTTTCGCCAGCGAAGCAGTAGGATATAAAAATGCATAAAACATCACCATCATTATTCATTTCTGCTAGAGTAAAGATTTTGTATTAACCTTGTCATTCCTTCATTTATTCATCAGAAGATGTGCTTATCACTTCCCTAACCCCACACCCATTAAAAAGGGGGAAAGAGGCAGTATTCAGGCAAAAGTCTTGGATGAATTCAAAGAAATTGAACACTTTCTTCAAGTCTGACATTCACTTCTCTGATTCTTTCATGAAATATTTTGCAACAACCTGTAACTAACCTTCCAGTAGGTTTCTAGAGGCTGTAAACTGGCCAGGAGATTGCTTATCTTTCGTCCTGAGTAGCTAGTAGCAACAGAACTACTTACCCACTAGATCATCAGAAGCACTTACTATATGTGACAGTCTGCTTCTGAAAGGATTAGGAGCTTTTTCTTAAAAAAAAAAATCAGCTTGTATACAATAAATCATTTATATTGAGTTTCATTTATGTAGATTGTATTTCATATAATCTTTCCCTTACATTGTGTTCCATACAAACATTTATTCACATACATTGTGTTTTATATAATGAATTACTATTGGTCTATGACTATTTTTACCCTGCTTTTTTGAGTCCCCACTGAATTTTTCCCATTTCTTTGGAAAGTTTACAAGGCATTTCTACTCTGGATTTGCAAGACTCTCTCCTGATGCGTTACTGGTGGATTTGAACTGCCAGAGATGTGAAGCCTTTGGATTAGCAGTGCAACTTGCTAACTACCATGCCACCAGAGTTCTCCAACAGGGTCACTATTAGTTGGGTTAGACCATGGAAATGGGGTTGGTTTGGGATTATGCGCTTGCTCTCACATAGACACCTGGAGTATATCAGAAATCAAAGACTATCTTTTTCAAGGTTAAAGAAAGCAGAATAAATAGTGAGTAAATAAAGAAATAAATAATATCTTTAAAGCAAGAGGTAAGAAAAGTAGATCAGAACAAGGGGCATCAGCAGTGTTGAGTTGGGACAGAGTAGGAAGTGAGTTGACATTTTAAAAATGCATTGCTCTTCCAAACAGCATAATATCACTATATGCACATGACTTTCTTTAAGACCTTTTTCTAGATGAAGATAGTTGCTAAGACATGGTGTGGAGCTCTTGACATCTGGATGATACAGGACACAGCCAAGCTCTCGTGTTTTCTGAAGGCCACACAGTGAAGTTCTTACAAGCTATGTGTTATCTCCAGTGTCAGATAACTTGAATGTGAGCCAGGCTCAGCAACACATTGGCTCTGTAAGTGGAGCCATCATCATTATCACCAAGATGAATATTATTAACTTAACAATGTTGGTGAATATTGCTGTAGCCTATTTGACAGCTGTCAGTGACTTCATCTTGTTTGGATCCACAATCAATACACTTGGTATCAGCAGTGAGGAGATCAGGAGATGTATTATTCTAATAATTCCAAATTACTGAGGAGGAATGGTATCAGTTTAAGGAGTAAGATGCTCCTGAATCAGACCATGGTCTTTTTAGTCACTTGTTATGCATCTGTAAGCTAGACAATGACTTAGAATGACAAAAGAATTTATTTTTTTAAACTGTGGTTGGAGAAGAGTACTGAATATCCCATTGACTGCCAAAAGAACAAGCAGATATGTCTTGAAGAAGAAGGTTCAGCCAGGGTGTTCTTTGGAGCCAAAGATGATGAAGGTTTATCTTATATACTTTGCAGATTTTGCTAAAAGTTATTCCTTGGAGAGAGACATCATGCTTGGAAAGGTGGAGGGACAGAAAAGGAGAGGAAGACCCTCAACAAGATGAAATGACATAGCGACTGCAACAATGGACTTGAGTGTGTCAGAGTTTGTGAGGACAGCACAGATTAGGAAAAATTTCAGATATGTTATTCATAGGGCCACTATGAGTCATACTCAGCTTGATAGCACCTAACAACAACAACAATAACATTCTAGGATATAATAGGAAAAATGTCCAGTGATTCAAATGCCAACATTTTCATTAATCAATTATATTTAAATGACTGCACTCACCAGTCTCTTCACAGCTAATGAAGAACCCATAGCTACTTCTGTGATGACACTGAGAAAGCTGCTATGTGATAACCTGAGCGTGTGAGACAGTGAGCAGAATTAGCTTAAGATGGAGAGTAGCCCTGATGGAATTTGATTACTGACTGAAAGGTCAGAGGCTCAAAACCACCAGTAGCTCCATGAGATCATGATAAGCAGTCTTCTTCAGTAAAGTTTTCTAGGTTTAGAAACCCTGTGAGAGAGTTCCAGTCCATCCTTTAGGGTCTCTATCAGTCATAAGAGACTTAATAACAGTGGATCTTGTATTGGGCTTAAAGAACAAGACCTCTAGCTTGGTTTTTGTCTCTCCTTATTCTCCACATGTCTCTAGCAAACACCATTACTTCTCTGGCTCTCACCTTTCTAATGTAAAAACAATGGGGAGTGGGGTTTGTTCTGGTTTCTAATATTGCGCAAGTTCATATTTTTTCCCTTTACACTGAACTGTAAATAAAATGAAATTTTGAAGGAATGTTGATTTAATTTATTACGAATACAGTCAAATAGCTCTGGTGGCCTAACGGTAAGATGTTGCATTGGAAGCATAAAAGTATGAGGTTAAATCCACCAGCTGTGCCATGGGAGAGAGGTAGTCTCCTCCCACATGATTAATTGCCTCTGAAAAACCACTGGAGGGTCAGCTATTTGATTCTGACTCAACTGTGCACAACAACAATATAGTCAAATATTTTGGCAAAGTCAAAAAAGTAAACAATTTTCTGGTATTCTCTACCTTCCACCTGATCTGATGTCAGCAATAATATCCTTGGTCCTACAAACTGTTCTGAATTCAATTTGAATTTCTGGCAGTTTCCTGTTGATATATGGCTCCAGTAATTTTTAAAAATAATCTATGGCAAGATTTTGCTTGCATCTGATACTAATTAGATTGCCCAATAATTTCCAAATTCTGTTGGATCATTATTTTTTGTTTTTTAAAGAATCTGTCAATGTAATTTATGACATCTCATCAAATCCTCATTGCCTTTCCTGTGATCACCCACCCACTCATCTCTGTGCTCCCTCCCTCCATTCCTATTCCTGTCACCATCATTGTTTCTATTTGTGTGTAGTTCTTGCTTTAGTTTTTTTATTCCCCTAATCAATCAACCACATATATCTTGTTCCTTGTGGATAATTCCACATAATGCCTGACCACTTATTCATTCCATATCACTGTTCACTAATTTCAATAAATTGTTCATTGCTTATCCATTAATTTCCTACTCTCCCAAATATGTAACCATATCAGATTGATTCTGTATATAAATCTTTCTCTAGATTTGCTTGTTTGTTTTGTATTTTGTAACAGTGATCTAGTGTAATATTTAACCCTTTAGTGACTCATTTATTTCGCTCAGCATACTGTCCCCTAGATTCATTCACGTTGTGTGGTGTTTCACTAGTTCTTCATTGGTTTTTGGTGCTGTATAGTGCTCAATTATGTGGCTGTTACACAGTTCCTATATTGGGTGGTTTGTTTATGGGGACTTGGATTATCTCCTTAGCTTTGCTATTGTGAATGATGCTGCAATGAACATGAGTATGAAAAAAAATGACCAAAAAAGATGTTTTAGTGTTTTAAATTATCAGTGTCATTAATATCACATGCAAGCAATATTCTGCTAAAAATGATCCAAAAATGACTGGAACAACACATCAGCAGAGACCTGCCTGAAGTGTGCATATTACAGCTAATGTTAGATGGATCTTTGCCGAAAGCAGAGACTATCAGAGGAATGTCTATCTGTGTTTCATTGACTGCGCAAAGACATTTGACTGTGGCCACAACAAACTGTGGCTAACTCTGAGAAGATTGTGAATCTCAGAACACTTGATTGTGCTAATGCAAAACCTACATTTGGACCAGGAGTCAGTAGTCAGAACAGAGGAAGGAAACACTACATGGTTTAAAATTGAGAAAGGTGTACACCAGGGATGTGTCTTAGCTCTGTATCTTTTCAGTCTACATGTAGAGCAAATCCTCTAGGAGGCTAGGCTCTATGAGAAGGAATGTAGCAGAGGATTTGAAGATTTATCAACAAACTGCATTATGCAGATGATATAACTCTGCTTGCTGAAACTGAGGAGGACCTGAAGTGTTGCTGCAGAAGGTCAAGGACTTCAGCTTTCTATATGGATTGAAGCTCAACACCAGAAAAACAAAAATTCTTGTCACTGGGCCAATTAGCAGCATCATGATAGATAGTGAAGAGATTAAGATTGTTAACAGCTTCAGCTTGCTTGGTCTCAAAATCAACACTCTTTGTGCCAGCAGCCAGGAAATCAAAAGATGAATTGCATTGAGAAGTCTGCTGTCAGGGACATCTCCAGACTGCTGAAGAGCAACAATGTTAGCCTAGAGACTGAAATGTGCCTGATCCAGGCCATAGTCTTCCCAACTATATGTTAAGCATCATAAAACTAGAAAATGACTAGGGATGATAGAAGGAGAGTTGATACCTTTGAGCTGTGGTGCTGGAGAAGAGTATTAAATATACCATGGATTGCTAAGAGAACAAAGAGGCTTATTCTGGAGAAGGTGAAACCAGGCTGCTCCTTGGAGGCAAGGATTCTGAGGCTTTGTCTGACATACTTTGGGCATGTTGCAAGAAGAGACCAGTTTAGAGAGGGACAATATGCTTGGAAAGATTGAGGAATAGTGCAGGAGAGGAAGACCTTTTATGGGATGGATTGATTCAGTAACTGAGGTAATGGGGGTAGACAGTAAGGTTGGCTCAGGGTTGAGCAGTGTTCAGAGCCTTTGTATATAGGGTTGCTAAGAGTTGCATGTGACTTCACAGCACACAACAACAACAAAGAAAACAAAATAGATCTTGGTGAAGAAAGAAAAATATTTTCAAGGACTCAATCCATAGATAAGAAAGAAAGAAAAAAAGAAATGCTTTGTTGTTATAAAGTAGCACTGATATTGCTTAAATCGGGAGACCTTGGAGGAGTACAGACGGCTCTGTGTAATATTACATTCTTTCAAAGTTTCTACACTTACCTGTCTACACTCATCACAGTCATGATGGCACTACAGGCGAACTGGTTGCATGTATCCAGGGATGTGATGATGGTACAGAGAGGCCCTCCAAACACCCACTCTCCACCTCTGGCCCATTGGTGGATAATAAAAGGCATTCCAGTGATGTGGACTAAGTCGGCCACAGCAAGGTTGCAGATATAAATGTCAGGAATTGTTTTTTTTCTTGACCTGAAAGAAATGGAGATAGACTCAGTGTTGTTGTTGTTATGTGCCATCGAGTAGGCTAAGTATTAACATAATTAATGTGCACTTGCTTCAAATTTTAGCTCTGGAAAATTTCAACTGCCACGATGAGTTTTACTTGATTGCACAGTCAACACTCTTGTTACCAGCAGCCAGGAAATCAGGACATGGATTGCATTGGGCAAGTCAGCTGTCAGAGACCTCTCCAGAGTACTGAAGAGCAATGACATCAGGCTGGAGACTAAGGTGCACCTTATCTGGGCCATGGTCTTTGCTATTATGTGCTATTTATCAGAGAGCTGGACAGTCACTAAGAATTACAGAAAGAGAATTGATGCCTTTGAGCTGTGATGCTGGAGAAGAGTGTTGAATATACCATGCACTGCTAGGAGAACAAACAGGTTTGTCCTGAAGAGGGTGAAACCAGGCTGCTCCTTGGAGGAAAGGATTCTGAAGCTTTTTCTGACATACTTTGGGCATGTTGCAAGGAGGGACCAGTCCTTGGAGAGGGTCGTCATGTTTGGGAGCGTGGAGGGACAGCACAAGAGAGGAAGCCTCTTCTCCCTCTCCCTCTCTCTCTCCCTGTCCCGCTCTCTCTCCGTCTCTCTTTCCCTCTCCCTCTCCCAGAAGTATTTGGGTGGGTTGAAGTCCTCCACCAGAGCCCTGCATCTCACGGCAAACATTTGTCTGTCCCAGAATTTATTGGAAACCTTTTGTCTTCTCTTACCTCACTAGGAGATGACAAAACCAAACAGCACCACTTTGCCTGCCCTCCTGCCCGCCAGCAGTATGAGGTTTGCCTAACTGGAGGTTCTTGGAATTTCTTTGTTCAGTGATTGAGGTAGTGGGAGTAGGTGTGCTAGAGACAAGGAAGTTGGCACAGGATAGAGCAGGGTTTAGGGCCCTTGTACACAGGGTCACTATGAGTCGCAAGCGACTCGACCACATATGACAACAACAAGAATGATGAGTTTTAAGAATTAAAGCAAAGTCTACACAAAGACATATATGAATGCCTACTTGATTGTTGTTGTTGTTGTTAGGTGCTAACAAGTTGACTACAGCTCTCAATGGTCCTGTGAAAGACACAAATCTGAACCTTGCTCTATGTTGTATCACCCTCACAATCTCTGTCATTCTCAAGTCCATTGTGATGGTCTCTGTGTCAATCTATCTCATTGAGGATCTTTCTTTTTTGCTGACCCTCTACCTTTGCCCGCATAATGTCTCTTTCTCCCAACTGGTTCCTCCTAAAAATATGCCTAAAGTAAGTGAGACAAAGTTTCATTATCTTTGCCTCTACGGTGCATTCTGGTTGCACTTCTTTTAAGACAGAGTTGCTTGTTCTTTTGTCAGTCCATGGGATAGTAAATAGTCTTTACAAAGTCACAGTTCAAAGGTTTTGATTCTTTGGTCTTCCTTATTCATTGTCCAACTTTCAGATGAATAGGAAGCAATTGAAAATACCAAGACTTGGATCAGGTGCACTTTAATCTTTAAACTGATATTATTGCTTTTTAGCATTTTTTAAGATATCATGGACACCAGATTTCCTCAATACAGCATGTCTTTTTTATTTCTTCACTAAAGCTACCAAATGTGTTGATTATAGATCTAAGTAAAATTAAATAGTTGACAACTTCTTTCTTCATCTATTAGGATATTGTCTATTTGTCTAACTTTTGTCTTCTTGATGTTGTAATATAATCCATATTGAAGACTGTAGTCTTTGATCTTCTTCAGGAAGTGCTTCAAATCTTCTTCACTCTGTGAAACCAAATCCTCACAACTAGACCAATAAGAATATAATAATAAATACAAAGAGATATTGAAATTGTCTAATATTTTGTTTGGATCAACAATCAAAACTCATGGAAGCAATATTTTATTAGACAAAAGGACTTTTTTATTTTTTTTAAAATGTGAGAATGCCAAGATGTCACTGAGAAGACTAAGATGTACCTGATCCAAGCCATGGTATTTTCCATCTCTTCATATGCATATGAAAGTTAGACAATGAGTAAAAAAGACTAAATAAGATCTAATGCCTTTAAATTATGATGTAAGTAAAGAATATTAAATACTTCAAATTATTAATATTAAATAAACTTTTAGGAGAATAAACAAATCTGTTTTAGAGAAAGAACAGCCAAAATAAGCAAACCACTATAAAATAAAAGAGGGAAAAATCCCTAGAGGCAATGACAGCAAAACTGTTGTTCATGTACTTTGGGGCATGTTATCAAGAGGAGCCAAGCCTTGAAGAAAGACACCAGGCTTGGTAAAGTTGTTTTGAAGAGGTAGGAGCACTTAGGTTTTTTTCACACTTGGACTGTTGGATAATATTGGTTGATTATACCTCAGTACATCTTCGTTTTTAAAGTGACATCCTTGCTCTTTAGCTCTAACTAGTCTAATGAACAACTCGTGTTTTGCGAATAACACAATCTTGCTTATAGAAAGTGAAGAAGACTTGAAGCACTTATTGAAGAAGAGCAAATACTACAGCTTTTAGTATGATCACATTTCATCATCAAGAATACAAAAATCCTCACATGTGGATTAATAGGCAACATCATTATAGATGGAGAGAAGATTGAAGTTATTAAGAATTTTATTTAACTTGGATCCACAAGTAATTCTGTGGAAGTTGTTGTTGTATGCTATTGAGTTTCTTGCAACTCATAGTGACTCTCTGCACAATAGCTCTGAATCTTGCTCTATCTTGAGTCCACTTCATCATCTCTGACATACCTATCCCCATTACCCCAGTCATTGAGTGAATCCATTTCATCCAGTCTTCCTCTCTTGTGCTGTCCCTCCATCCTTCCACACATGATACCCCTCTCCAAAGACTTGTTCACCCTTGCAACATGTCCAAAGTATGTCAGGTGAAGCTTCAAAATCCTTGCCTCTAAGAAGTAGCCAGGTTTCACCCTCTCCAGGATGAACCTGTTCTCATAAGAGTTCATGGCATATTCAATACTCTTCTCTAGCACCACAACTCAAATGCATCAACTCTTCTCTGTCATCCTTAGTCATTGTCGAGCTCTCTGATGTATAGCAAGTAATTGCGAAGACCATGACCTGGATCAGGTGCACCTTGGTGTCTAGACTTACACCATTGCTCTTTAGTACTCTGGCAAGGTACCTGAGAGCAGATTTTCCCAATGCAATTAATCTTTTGATTTCCTGACCCCTGGTGCCAAAAGTGTTGATTGTGAAGCTAAGCAAAATGAAGCTGTTAACAATCTCCTATATCTTCACCATCTATCATGATAGTGCCAATTGTTCCAGTGGTGAAAATCTTTGTGTTCTTGATGTTGAGCTTCAATCAATATTAAAGGCTGGAGTCCTTGACCTACAGCAAATGCCTCAGATCCTCTTCAGTTTTAGTAAACAAGGTTGTGTCATTTGCTTAACACAGGTGGTTGATGAATCTTCCTCCAATCCTCATGCCACATTCCTTTTCAAAGAGCCCGGCAGTAAAGAAATCAAAAGATGTGCTGCTTTGGCAAATCTGTTGCTAAGTTAAAGTACTAAAGTATTGGTTTGTTATTGTTGTGTACCGGTGAGTCAAAACTGACCCATGGTTGACCAGCAGCAAGTTTTCAGAGGCAGTTAATTGCATGAGAGATTACTCATTCTTTCACAGAACAGCTGGTGGATTTAAACCATGTACCTTTGGATAGCCAGCACAATTCTTTACCACTAGGCCATCAAAGCTTTTTAAAATGTTGGTCTATATCTTACCATTTTGAGATCTGCCAATCAGAATTAATCTTGTTGTTGTTGTTATTATGTGCCATCAAGTCACTTGCGACTCATAGCAACCTTATCTATGAACAACATCCCTAAACTCTGTCCTGTGCCAATTGCACCATCTCAAGCAAGATAAAAACATTTCTAGAATCTTCATTCATTATCGTAACAAAAAACTCCCAACACTTAATTTTTTTAAGCCAAATTGTGCAGGGGACAAAGATTTCATTTAAGAAATAAAGTGTGTTATTCTCTAGTTAAGGAAAGAAAATAACCAAAAAAGTCTTACCTTATTATAGTGACTACAATGAGGATGTTGCCAACCAACCCTGTCGAACAGATAATCCCAATCATAGAAGGGAGGATGACTGTATCTACAATGCTAGGGGTCTGATAAGCAAACTCTTTACCCAAAGATTTGTTCAAAATTTCAGCAGAGATATTCCAACAGGATGAGGAAAGCAGATTCATTGTTCATGAACTACAGAGGGTTAAAGCTGTGAAGAAATAAAAAGTGTTTTATTTAATTAGTTTTAGAAAATGTTTTCTTTTCAAGAACTTTTTTTTAACATATGCTGTTGTTATTGATTTCCTTCCAGTTGAGCATGACTCAATATGACCCTATGAACAGAAGTCCCTCTACAACTATCAACATTTATCAAAGTTGATATTTTTAACATATATTCAAAGATTCTCACCACTGGACTAATTGGCAGCATCAGGATGGATGGTGAAGACATTGAGGTTGCTAACAACTTTAGTCTGCTTGGATCCATGGTCAACACTCTTAGCACCCGTAGCCAGGAAATCAAAAAACATATTGCAATGGGAAAGTCTGCTGTTAGGGACCTCTCTAGGGTACTAAAGAGCAATTATGTCTCTCTGGAGACTAAGGTGCATCTGATACAGGCTATGGTCTTTGCAATCACTTTTTAGGAGAATTGATACCTTTGAGCTGTTGTGCTGGAGAATAGTATTGAATGTACCATGGACTGCCAAGAAAACAAACAGATTCATCCCGGAGAGGGTTAAACCAGGCTGCTCCTTGGAGGCAAGGATTCTGGGGCTTCGTCTGACATACTTTGGACATGTTGTAAGGAGGGACAAGTCCTTGGAGAGGAATATCATGCTTGGGAGGGTGGAGGGACGGTGCAAGAGGGGAAGACCCTCTATGAGGTGGATTGATTCAGTGACTGGGGTAATCAGGATGGGTGTGTCAGAGGCAGTGCAATTGGCACAAGATAGAGCAGGGTTTAGGGTTGTTGTACATAGGGTCGCTATGAGTCGCAAGTGACTTGACGGCACATAACAACATAACAACAACATATTCTCCTTATTGTTATTGTTGTTGTGTGCCATCAAGTCAGTTGTAGCTCATGGCAACCCTATGCACATTAGCTCTGAGACCTGTCTGGCCACTTGTCCAAAGTATGTGAGACAGAGCTTCATAATCTTTGACTTGTTTATTCTTCTGACAGTCCATGGTATGCTCAACACTCTTCTCTAGAAGTACAACTCAAAGGCATTGATCATTCTTTTATTATCCTTAGTTATTGTCCAGACTGATACCATTGCTCTTCAACACTCCGAAGAAGCTCTGACAGCAGATTTTCCCAATGCAATTCACAATCTCACTCACTTCTCCATCTATCATGATGCTGCCAAACGTCCTGGTGGTAAGAATCTTTGTTTACTTGAAATTGAGCTTCCATCCATATTGAAAACTACAGTCCTTGATCTTCTGCAGCAAATGCTTCATGCCCTCTTCAGTTTCAGCAGGCATGGTTGTATCATCTGCATAACATAGATTGTTGATAAGTCTTCTTTCCTTTGCAATACTCTTTTGTTGTTATTGTTGTAATGTAGCATAGAGTATGACTCATAGTGACCCTACAAACAACAGATCTGAACCCTCTACTATCTTGTGTCAGTCTCATCAACTTTGACATATTTGAGTCCATTGCTGCAGAGTGTCAATTAATCTCTTTGAGGAGCTTCCTCCTTTTTTACTGACCCTCCAGCTTTCCAAACAGTGTCCTTTTGTACTGACTTCTAAATAAATCTCTTGGATTTGCTTAAGAAATGCATTAGGACACCAGATTGTTATTTCCTAAGACTGAAATTGGGTAAGAGTCACTGAGATGATGTTTGGACTATCTTGAAGGTTGAGAAAGAGTGAGTTCAGCAAGGATAGTTGAGAGAAAGAAAAAAAGTACGGTAGCCAGTTGGAGTAGCATGTATTGAAATGAATTACACTACATGAAAAACTTACCATAAATCATCCTAAAAATGAGTAAATAAATAGAAACCTAAAAATTTATTTTCTTATCTTGATGAAAGATCCAAGTGTATCATGTAAGTCTGACATTTGGTAGTGATACCAAAGCTATCTTTGTCTAGAAGGCATTTTATATAATTTGAACTTCAGTTCCACATCAGTATAAAGTGCACTGAGAATTCAAGGTCCAGAATCTATACATGTTCTGTTTCTTTGTCCTTCATGGTTAGCATTTTATGCAAAGCTCTGCAGGTTATATTCACAGTAAAACAAATAATAGAAAGAACAAAATACCCCTGACAGTCTAACAGCCAACAGTATGATCACGAAGTAAAACTCTGTTCTCTCTTCTGTATATATACTTACCTTATTTGTAATTTTTCTAATTTGCTTCTGTTATCTTTTCATTTTCTATTCAGTTATTTTAAGCTAAAAATCTGTTAATGCCAATGTTAACTTTTATTATGTTTCTGTTATGTTGAAACTTGGTGTCAAAATATATGCAGAAGAGCCATTTTCAGGCAAATCAGCTATGCATGACTAACTGGCTGAACTCAGTGAAGGGTTTCATATGGAGAGACATATTCACAGTCAGGCATTTTATATTGTTTTAAAAACACCAAATGTGGCTATTTGAAAGTCAAGATGATTGATTTATTTTCATTTTCACCATGTGTTCAGAATCATGAAAAACTTTCTCCAGTGTTTATGAAAGATTTCAGAGGAGATCCAAAACAACAGTGTTTAGAAATCATAATAACTAAGATAACAGGTGAAAATTATCTGGAAAGCCATTTGTAAAGAATTTCTACAAACTTTAAAAGAGAAACTGTGTGTTTAAACTAAGTTTCAGACTCATGTGCTTTTGTAAATGATTAAGTTAAATGATTAGGTAAACTTTTTCTAGTAAACAGTTACAGCAATAACAATTATCTCTCAAATCATCATATATTTCAGTACCTTTTCTCCAAATATTATGTGCAGTAATGTGGCTCTGAAAGGTTTAGCTAACAGACATGTTAATAAATATGCTTTTAATACTATTGGACTATGGTTAAGGAGTATAATGTTTTTGGCTACGCACTGATTTTTTTCAATAACAACAGCAAGAATAACACAATAAAACTATGTTGCTGTTGTTAAAGGCTGACGAGTCTCTTGCAATCCTAGCACCCTATGCACAGCACCTCTGGACCTGACCCTATCCTGAGCCAATCCCACTGTCTCCAACACATTTTTCCTTAATACTCAACTTACTGTAGCAATATATATCATATCATATCATATCATATCATATCATATCATATCATATCAATATATACATCATATCATATCATATCAATATATATCATATCTATATATCTATATCATCTATATATATCTCTATCTCTCTCTCTATCTCTATCTTTATCATCTCTATATCTCTATATCTATGTATATAGCATATATAGCAATATATAGCTGCTTATTGCTAGCTCCTGAGCTCTAGAGTAAATAGAATTCTTAAGTCAAAGCTTCTTAGCCTTACCCTACTATTTCTCTATATTTCTTTCTTTCCTACCTTTCAAGTTCTTTGAGAGAGCTTGGTGGCCTGTTGAGGAAGATAGAAGCTCACAGAATGGAAAAGGAAAATATCTAGAAAATAATAGTATGTACGGAAAGAACTCTGAAAGTAAACAACAGCCTATTAAACTGTAACATTTATCCAAGCCATTGAAAATTGGGCAATTAGCCTTGTCACTTTGTGGTTTTGAGGTGTTTTCAAGTCTACCCTGACTCATAGCAACCCCATTTGTAACAGATCAAAACCTTGCTTGATCCTATATAATCCTCCTTGAAAGTCACTAATTTTCTAGTGTCAATTAAAAGGTCAACACTTTTCATAAGTGTTCAAATTAAAAGTTAGTATATCAGAGAAAAATATAGAAATTGACAATTCATGAATCCTTTTGACATACTGATAAAAAATTCCTTGTTTTGCCAACTTACCTAAAAAATTCCAAATTTTTCAAAGTAAAAAAAATCAAATAATAAATTCATTCCAAGAAAAATTAGTCATTTGTACTTCATCTTGTACTGGTCAGCTGCTTTTCCTCATAGTATATTACTATTAAATTCTGAAGATAAATTGCACTGGGGAAAGTCTGCTGTCAGAGACCTCTCCTAAGTACGGAAGCACAACCATATCAGTCTGGACTAAGGTGTGTCTGATCCAGGCCATACTCTTTGCAAATACTTGCTGTGCATCAGAAAGCTGCACAATGATGATAGAAAGAGAATTGATACCTTTGAGTTGTGGTGCTGGTGAAGAGTGTTGAACATACCATGGATTGCTAGGAAAACAAACAGGTTCATCCTGGAGAGGGTGAAACCAGGTTGTTCCTTGGAGGCAAGGATTCTGAAGCTCTGTCTGACATACTTTGGACATGTTGCAAGGAAAGAGCAGTCCTTGGAGAGGGATGTCATATTTGGGAGGGTGGAGGTACAACACAAGAGATAAAGACCTTTGATGAGGTGGATTGATTTAGTAGTGACTGGGGTAATGGGGGCAGAGACCATAAGATTGGCACAGGGTAGAGCAGGGTTTAGGGCTGTTGTACACAGGGACATTATGAGTTGCAGGTGACTTGATGGCACATAACAACAATACCCAACAATATTTGTTACTTTCTTGATAAAGCTAATCATAGTTATGGTTCTGTGTTCAATAAATTCATTATTCTTAGTTAAATATACAGCTAAGTAGTATTGGTAAATAGTAGCTGTTGGGAAAATCTAAACATTGATATTTAAATTGTTTCCATTTTAAATAATTTCAATATTACAAAGAAGGTTTTAATTTTGTTTTGGATTTAGAATAATTAATATAAACAAGTCTTTCAATTCCTAGTGCAATCCCAAAGGCACACAGTGTGAATATACCAGCTGCTCCATGGACTAAGGATGGGCAATCTCTTCCCATGCAACTTACTGCCTCTGAAAACCTGCTGGAGGGTCAGCTGTGGAAATTTAGTCCATGATAGATGGAGAAGAGATTGAGATTGTTCAAAATCCGCTTTCTTGGTTCCAAAATCAACACTCTTGGCACCAACATACAGGAAGTCAAAAGACAAATTTCATTAGGAAAATCTGCTCTCAGGGACCTCTCCAGAGGGCTGAAGAGTAACTATGATAGCTTAGAGACTAAAATGAACC